CCACCTCGCTGACTCTTTCTCTCTCCCTCATTTGAAGCATGGTCAGTGATCTTTGTCCCTGAGCAAGAAATCGTATGTGTGGGTAAGCGAGGGTTGCTTTTATCTAAAAGTCATCATTGTTTTTCTTTTAGAATCTTTTTTGTTGTTGGAGAAAGCAATGTCAGAGAAAGTTCATGGAAAGAAACAAAGAGGTGGGGTGGTAGGGTAAGCACAGTTATCATTTCTATTTAGGTATCAGAATGCATCTATCTCACAAAATCGCTTTTCGCCTTGAGGTATTGTAAAAAAAAAAATTAAAAGTCTTTGAGCCACATCTTCCTCCGTGTTTTACCCTACCTTTTCTCTGTCCCCGTGTCCTTGTAGAATTTCCCCGGGTTTCCATCAACGACAAGTAATGACCCCCCTCCCCCCCCCTCTCCCCCAGTTCCCACCTCCGCATCTCCCCAAAGGCCTCATGCCTGACACACACGCTACTACGCTACAGCTATATCGTGAGTGAATGCTATCTCCTTCTATCTTCAGTATCCCATTTTTGGGAGGTTTTTGGTCACAAACGTAGTGGCTGTTTAAATACCTTTCCTTTGAACCTGATCCCAATCTTTTTACAAGTAATGTACGTGTTTTTGCAAGATATTGATTTTACTTTGTTCTAACTCATTTTTTTATGCGATGCGACTGAAATGTAGTATCTTCAAAATGACACTTCACTTTGATCTTAGCCAAAAGGCCGAGAAGCAATTCTCCTGAGTTTCACCAAAAAAAACGTAAAAATGGAGTTGGAACAAGATTGCTCCAAGATTTCGATTCTATATCCCGTGGGCTGCTGGGTCAAGTTTAAAGTAAAGTAAAGTTGTTCCTGCATCCGATCCGGACATTGGGAATGTCTTGTTAGTGAGACAACTTCCTGGGCCGTCGGCATATTGTGGTTGGGTGGCCAGTTTTGTTTATTTCACGCGACCTTTTATTCCCCAAATAGAAGTCACGTACCAATTACTGCTGGGTGGGTAAGAGGGGGCGAAACAAATCTGTGTCAAGCCTACTGACCATTAATGTCAGAGCCATCACAAGTTATGCAAAACGAGTCCCAGACTTTTGTGTTTTATCATTAATTGTACAGCTAGTCATTTTTCTGGTGTTTTAGTAGCCACACTTAGTCCAAGTTTATACGCCACCTATTATGTTTGTCATATGTCGACTTTTTGTGACTTGACAAGTGATTCTAAAGCAGTGTGTATGGTACAACTTTGTCTGTGCGGTAGGCAATGAGCAAGAGTAGATTGTCAAAGTTTTACTTTTCACAAATTTCCTTTGCCTACGAAATGTTCGTAGAGCATGAGGTGAGTTTGGTAAATTCTCAAAAAACCCGTTGTATTTTGTTTTATAAACATGGTCTGCCACCCATACCTACAAACTTATGATATTTCCATTATTACTCACCAGCGACTTTTAGGAAGTTTTGTACTCCCAAAAAGCTACTGGTTAGGTTCTCGGACTCGCAACCGTAAGGTCGTGGGTTCGAATCCCGTCAGGGACCCGACGTTGTGTCCTTGGGAAAGGCATTTTACACGAATTTTCCTCACCTCACCCAGGTGGGAATGGGTACCCGGCTATAGAAAGCGAAAGATCTTGTCAGTTTGTTAGTGTTTGAGCGCTTAATCAGCTGCTTGCACTGTATGCTTCCCGGGAAGCTGAGAATGTTTCGGAGTGTTCTATGGTCTGCTGGGGTAATAATATAGTGTAAATCGCATAGAGCCTGCTGTTGAGCGGGGATATGCGCTATACAAATGCTATCTATTATTATTATTATTATTATTATTATTATTATTATATCTGTGGATTGCTTCTTCTCTCCTATAAAAATATGTACTTCTCATCTCTCCTCCTTCTGTTTTGTTGTGTTAGTCTCTTGTAACACATCATACCTTCCGCACTTGCCTTATTTAATTGTATTGCAAGAGTCATAAACTCTTACTAAAACTTTTGTTTAAAGTTATGGGGCCAGGTAAATTACCATCAGATGTAAGGTCACCGGTTTGCAGTGGTTGTTGTAGCAACATCGTCATCATCATTATTATTTTTATTATTATTTATTATTATTTATCTTTTTTAAATTATTATTATTATTATTATATTGTTGTTGTTGTTGTTGTTTTTAAATAAGACAATGAATGCTTTTGAGCACTCCACCTTGCATTTAGGAAAATCATCGATCAATATCAGACATTGACAACAATATTGGGTAGGATATTTACCTCACATAAGTGTAGTTTCATATGCGTTAACGCCCATTTTAGTACTGAAAAGTTATGTAAGTCAGGACCACTAGTACAACCGAGGCCAGCTGGTGAAGAAACTTGAACAACAACCCCCCCCCCACACACACACACTTTCCTTGCCTTCCAGTGTTCAAGTTTAAAAGTACTCTAAGGATTCGATCGCGTGTCACTCCCACCAAAGCACAGCATGACGCCTATGGTGTTCAGAGCGAAAACGTGTAATGTTGGGCGTTGTTTCCCTCACCGTCTGTTGCATTTTGGGAAGATGTGAGGAGAATAAGTTGTGTCTTTGGGAAAAGCGGTTGACTGTGGTTAATGCAAAGTTGTCCGTGGTACCCCGACAAGTGGACAAGATTCCAAGCTTGGTGGTGATGAAGTGGCGTACTTGGTCTAGTGGCTATGGTGCTGGGCTGACAACGGAAATGTAGCGATTTTAAACATTGTCAAGGGACCGACGTCGGGTCCTTTGGAAAGGAGCTTTATGGAAATTTGCATCGCCTCACGCAGGAGGGAACGGTTAACCGGCTATAAACCGTGAAAGGTACCATCAGTTTGCCAGTGCATGGGCGCTTTATCTGTAGTTTGCAGTGTGTGCTTTGCGGGAAGCCGACAATATTTCTGCGATTTCTTGTCTGCCGGGGTAATAGTAATATAGATTACAAAACGTATAGGGCTGGCTGTTAAACAGGGATATTCGCCATACCACTGCTACTCATTATGTATTATTATCATTAAGATAAAAGGTTCGTCACAGAATACAACACGTCCAAAAATTTGAGACTGTGAATACGCTGATTGTTTTACTCACGATTTGCATGCTGTTGAATTTAAATCTGAATAGAAGCAGCTTAAATTCAAAGCTTACAGTGCATTTTGTAACATCACCTTATGCAGCAAATGAAATTAATGAAGATCCTCTAACAATCACACAGGAACCACAGCAACAACATTTGCAGCAACGATGAAACACAAGAATAACAACGAATTACGAAACTGAAAAAAATAAAAAAATGTATAGCCAAGTACTCATGATAACAATGTCAACAACGATACTATGGTAATATCAATTCACCGCTGAGTTTTCAATGCTTTAAAAATCTCCAAACGTTTAGAAACATTTTAAGAGTGTGTGTACAATAAGCCACTTTAAAAAATCCCCTCTCTGCCCCTATCCCCCCCTATCCCCCT